AGAGGAGGTTCCCCTCCATATAAATATCAAGGAGCTGCGGGCGGTCAGGCTGGCCTGCAGGGCGTTCCTTCCCCACTTAGAGAACAGAGTGGTGGCAGTGCTGACAGACAACACTACGGCCATGTTTTATATCAGCAAGCAGGGTGGGGCGCGTTCCTCTCCCCTGTGCCGGGAAGCCCTCGATCTATGGGAACTGTGTATAGCCCACGGTATTTACCTGGAGGATCTCACCTCCCGGGAACCAGGAATGGGCTAGCGGACAGGCTCAGCCGTTCGATCCAGGCACACGAGTGGGTGCTAAGATGGGACGTACTTCACGGGGTCTTCCAAAGGTGGGGGTCTTCCCGCCTGGACCTGTTTGCGACTCTGAGCAACGCCAAGTGCAGGGAGTACTGTTCGTACATGGGACACTGTCTGGGCTCTTGGGGCGATGCACTGCAGATCAGCTGGCCCAGGGGCCTACTCTATGCTTTCCCCCCGTTCCCTCTGATCCACGACACTCCTCAGAGTGCAGAGGTTCAGGGCCCAGATCATCCTGATAGCGCCAGTGTGGCCTCGGCCGTACTGGTTCACCACCCTGCTGGATCTGACTGTGGAGGGCCCGATCAGGCTACCCCTCGTGCCGGATCTAATCACTCAGAACTGCGAGGCCAGGGTAGCACTCCACCCGAGCCTACCATCTCTGCACCTAGCAACGTGGCTCCTCAGTGGCTCTCAGTGACGAAGCAGGCTTGATTTAGAGCAGTCCAGGAGGTCCTCCTAGAAAGCCGTCCACTAGGGCCCTTTATGAGGTTAAGTGGAAGAGGTTTACCTCGTGGCTGGAGGGCAAGACGCTCGCTCCAGGTGAAGGGGCAGTTCAGACTGTTTTGGAATACCTTCTCCACCTGCGGAAAAAGGCCTGGCCATAGCATCCCTAAGGGTACATCTGGCGGCCATAGCGGCTTTCCACGCCGGGGGGGGGAGGGGTGTCAAAGGTCTATCTTTCCTTGGTTAAAAGATTTCTGAAGGGAATTGACAGAATGATGCCATACGAGACACCTCCGGTCCCGACTTGGGACCTTAACCTGGTCCTGACTGCCCTTATGAAGCCTCCGTTCGAGCCCCTGGCATCATGCTCTTTGAAGCACTTTTCCTACAAGGTAGCTTTCCTAGTGGCCATTACCTCGGCCAGGAGGGTGTCAGAGCTCAGGGCGCTGACTTCAGAACCGCCCTACACGGTGTTCTTTAAAGATAAGGTGAGGTTGCGTCCACACCCGGGGTTCCTTCCCAAGGTTGTCTCGCATTTCCATATCTCCCAGGATATTTTACCCCAGTGTTTTACCCCAAGCCACACGCGTCGCCCAGGGAACAGGCTTTGCACTGCCTGGATGTTAGGAGGGCGTTGGCTTTTTATATAGACAGGACACGAGGGTTCCGCAAGTCAACTCAATTGTTTATTTCAGTGGCAGAAAGAATGAGTGGGCTGCCAGTCTCGGCACAGCGTATATCCTCGTGGATTACTTCCTGCATTCGGCTATGCTACAAGGGCGCGGGTAGGTCACCACTGCGCATAACGGCACATTCCACAAGAGCCCAGGCAACGTCGGCGACGTTCCTTGCCCACGTACCGATATTGGAAATCTGTAGGGCAGCGACCTGGTCGTCGGTGCACACTTTTGCAGAGCATTATGCAATTACTTAACTGGCCAGGGAGGGCAGTTCTGAGTTCTGCAGAAGGATAATGGGGTAATTAGTCACCTTCCGACCCCGCCTCCGGAGGGGGGACACGGCTAGGGATTCACCTAATCAGAATGGACATGAGCAAGCACTCGAAGAAGAAGAAGAGGTTACTTACCTCGCAACTGTAGTTCTTTGAGATGTGTTGCTCATGTCCATTCTGCATCCCACCCACCTCCCTGTGTCGGAAGGAGCCAGCAAGAAGGAACGGAGGGGGTGGAGGGGCCAGCAGGGGTATATATGCACTGGTATACCGGCGCCACTCCAGGGGGCTCCCTGCTGGCTCTATGGATACTGCTAAGGGAAAAAAAAGCTCTGGAATACGTGCACGCGGCATGCGTACACCTAATCAGAATGGACATGCGCAACACATCTCGAAGAACTACAGTTACGAGGTAAGTAACTTCTTCTTTCTTCCCAAGGATAGGAACATCACGCACTGGGCTGCCAGTGTAAAGGGCCTAATTACTTCTGATTATATTGAGTAGAACGTATGGGTCAGTCCTGCTCATTCCCTCCCATCGATTGTACTTACTAAGCCTAATTTATAGCAAAGCCAGACTTGCTCGTTCTAATAATATTTACCAATTGGTTATGTATTGTGTAGGATACATAATATGCCCAATGCCCCTATCTGGAGTACATCCTGCTACTCACGATGTTGCTGTTTTGTGCGCAGTTGACAGTTACATGGCTGCATCTGTACTTTTTGCTTATCAGAAACAGGTACCAGTACAAGGCTGCTTGTCATGTGTTCTTGACGTGGTCTCGCGTACTATGCTTAATCTGTTTTGCAAAACAATTCCTGACTCTCGGGCACCAGACTTTAAATCAGCCAGAAATACACACTTTGGACAAGGGAGACATCACCATTTATTGCCGAGGCAGGGCCCCAAAAATCTACTACCTTTGGGCCTTAGAAAAGTGAATTCAGCCCTGGGAAGAAGCCCTGAGCTTCAGTGCTCTGCCAACATGTGAGGATGTAGCACAAAGGGAATGAGGTGAGTGTCTTTTTACTTTTCTGCATCTCACATGCAAGCCACGTGCGTGAGAGTTTGGGTTTTTTTTCTTCTTCTCCTGATTTTTCTGAGGGTCAGTAGCGATCAATCCAGAAAAAGTTCCTCACCCTGGTATGAAATTTTACAGAGCAAGCCCATAAAAATGCTCACACTCTTTGTCAATGAAAGAGAGAACCTCATAGCCCAAGGTAACAATTATTTACACTAGGTTTATTCATAAACAAAAGTGATTTTATTAAGTATTAAAAGTAGGATTTAAGTGGTCATTAGAGATAGCAGAGGGAATAAGGTAGGTTAATAAAAAAAATAAAAACATGCAAGCTAAGTTTAATGCACTGACTTGTTATAAGTCATAATTTCTCTCCCTAGTTCTTATTTCTGAGATTTCAGGCCAGAGATGTCTTTTTGATTTGAGTCCAGCCATTCCCTTCCACCCCTGTTGTTATAGTCTGTAACCGGGCTTGCCTCACTTCCAGGGGCGCCTCCTGCTGGACACTCTGGGAATTAGCTTTTTGGTGCTGGCGTGCCCCCTTCTGGCCAGTGTCTCACCCACAGTTACCTATTTTCTCCAACTCTGGGTACTGCCCTACCACAGTGAACCCTCACTCTTGGGTCATCTTACTCTGGGAACCCCCAATCCCCTATGCCCACCTTGCCTCAGTGACCCACTGCCAGTCATCATCAAATGATATGATCACATGTCCTTGTGGGGATGCTGAGCCCTTCCTACTGGCTGGTTCATGGGGGCAGGGAAAGCAAGTCAGGTTTCAGCGGTTCCCAACTGCCAGTCCATGAACTGGTGGTGTCCTATGAACCCCTGCCTGCCAGGCCGGGCTGGGCCACCCTGACAGGCCTCACCCCCAGCTGCTAATGAGCCCCGCTTGCTGGGGAGCACAGTTCCCAAAAATTCTCCTCCCACCCACTTCCCCACGTAACAAAACAGTGAATGACATGGCTGGTAGCTGGGTGTCCTGCAGCTGGAGCCGAGGCTGCAGGGCTGCAAGGCAGGTGGCTGCCACATGGGCCATGGTGAGGCTGTCCCTACTTCCTGCTGCAGGGCAGCCATGTGGCCCGGC